GAGTGAGACAGGAAGACCAGGGAGATGTAAAGGTTGTTGAGGTGCCATGAAGGCAGGGAAATGTCTAGGAAAAAATATTGTAAATAAATACATTTGGAAACTTGGAAGTTAATACCAAGTCCAAAGAATGAATGTACAGAGAAAAAAGTTGGGTGAGAATGGGGCCCTAAGCAGCTAAGTGTTAGTCCACGGAGGAAGCGACGATGAGAACAAGAGAGCTTTGGAATGGAGAAGGGAATGAAGACCCTAACTTTGGGCTCTATTATTTATCACGCAGCATCTCAGTTTCTGCATCTTCAAAACAGAAAAAGGTGAAAGAAAGAAAGAAAGAAAGAAAAGAAAGAAGGAAAGAAAAATGAAAAGAATGCACTTTTCCATATGATGTCACAGAATATTTTGGCATCCTCATTGGGCTACATGCTCTAGGAAATGGCAACTTCTCTTATGATTCTAATGTACAGCAGGACATGAAGGGTCTGAAACTAGCTGAAGGCAAAGGTCCTGGGGGAACAGGGCTGTGAGCCCACGTGTAAAAGGTGTGATGATTAATCCTGTGTACTTGACTGGCTCGAGAGGTACCTAGGAGATTTGTGAAACATACTTCTCTTTGCATCTGCGTGGGTCATGAGATATGACCTGCAGAGCAGTATCTAGTGCTGGACCCCTCTCTCTCTTGACCTTTCCCTTTTCTCTGCTTCCTGGCTGCCACAAGGTAAGCAGCTTTCCTGTGCTGTGATCTTCCACCATGATGTGTTATTTTTTGGGGTCGAACTGACAACCTCTCACTTGCCAGGCAGATGCTTATGCCTCTGAGCTAAATCCCCAGTTGGCTACAGACCTAAAGCAATGGAGTCAGCAGACTGTTGTCCAAAACCTCTAAAACTTTGTCTCCTTTAAGTTGTGTATATGTCACACATTTTGTCCCAGTGATGAAAAGCTAACAGACAAGGAGAGATTGCAGAGTTGTTTCTGTGGTTGGACTGGGAAGGAACCCCTGGAAGAAATAATTTCCTAAGAAAGATTCAAAATGTATGACAAGAAGAAAGAGGAACAGGAAGAGAAAACCTTTAAAGAATGTAAGTAAAGAGGCTGGTGATGGAGAAGCCCAGCCTGAGTGAATCAGTTTCCTGCCCTAGCTGTAATCCTAACAGGTTCTTTGACAGTTAGCTCGTGGCTTTACTTTCAGAGTCTCAGGTTTCTCCCCTGAAAAATGGTGAAGTTCATATGACTCCGACTGGGAATGACAATACTGCTTGTCTTACCCCAGCCCAGGGCTATATAGATTCTATTGAGAAAAGCACGACACCAAGAGGGCTGGCGTGGGGGCTGATGGGAGTAATGAGTTGTTGGTGTGCAGTAGGCAAAGGTACTTCTCCTAGGCCCTTGCATTTGTCCCAGAAAAACCGGAGTCACAAAATTAGGAAGCTGCCAAGAGCAAAGGTTTCCCCAGTGAGATGTCAGCTGTGCTGTGCAACACTGGGGCCCACTTGGGCCCTGGGGAAAAGGCTATGTTTTGTGAAGATTGAGAGAGTGTGAGCCAGCAGTGGCCAGAAGAAGAAAAGGTGACTGCCAGGGTCTGGGCTAAGGAAAGATTTTGAACAGGAAAGGGGATTCACAGGCACATGCTTGAGATGAGTTGTTTAAGGCTTTAAACCCTTGCCAAGGCAAGTAACATGAGACAAGACTTAGAAGTTACCTTAGCTATATATAGTGTGTAACATGAAAATGCCTCCCCCAGGACACTCCTGCTTTTGAGCCCACAGTGACTCTTCCGGAGGAGAATGGAGTGGGGGAAGGGATTCTACGGGGGACAGACAAAAGTGGAGAGGCTCTGGCTTTGAAGAATTTCCTCCCTTTTTCAGTGGTGCGTAACCAGAGACCAGTGTCAACAAGGAATCCTGCTTGGGAACACTTTTGTCTGTGGTTCTCCTTGGGGGCGGGACCTGCTTTTTCAGAGGCAGTGAATTGTGTTATTTCAGGTTCTCCTGAAATCAGGGTAAGCATTTTTGAGTGGATGAGTGCAAGAGGAGTGTCTAGTGTCATTCCAGGCATCTAGGAAACTCTGTCTCTTTGTAAGATCAAACTTGGCCTCATGAAATCTTACCATTAATAGAGGAGAAGAAAATATATGTGGGTTTGGATGTTCATATCACATCTGAATTTGCTATATCTAAAGAATCTATGTCAAGACTCTGAAATTAAGTTAATCTACTAAGTTCAGAGTTAGCACATACAGTGAAGTCAGTTATTTGATATCCTTGATTACACTTTTCTGGTTAAATCTATTTGTTGTGGCCTATGAAGCCATCTACTTTTGTGCTGCACAAAGGGGTAACAAGCTTAGAGCTCCCGAAGGTGAGGACTGGTTCTTAATCATTTAGGATCTACATTTCTTCTCTCCTTTCATAGGTTTATCAAAGGATCTAACGTTTATTCATGCACTTATCAAAAAAATTTCTACTAATTTCTGGAAATACAAAAATGTCTAAAACAAGTAGGCTTTTGCTCTCTCAGAATTTATAATCTGGATCAGAGGCAGACAAACCACAATATTAGTGGATTAAATACTAAAAGGGAGGTGAAATGCACTACAAGAAAAATATAGAGGAATACAGGAGGTGGAGGGCAGCATCTCTGAGGAAGAGGGATTAGAGTTGACTGATCGAGGCGGCCCCACTGTCCACTGAAGGACAGAGGAGGTGTCTGGGGAGGTTAAAGCCAAAGCAGTGGGAGGTATAACTAGAGGGAAACCTGAGAAAGAGCCTTGACTCGGGCCTAGAAGTTCACTACAAGAACCTTGAATTTCACTCTGGGTGGATGAGAAGTTTGAGGAGGGGTTTCAGAAGCGAAACAAGACCATTCTGGCTGCTGTTTTTAAATAAATCCATGAGGGCAGATATGCAATCTGAAAACAGGATGCAATCATCTAATCAAAAGATAATAGTGGTCTGGCCAAGGATTTACCAGATTCTAAACATTTGGAAGGAATTGGCATTTTCTCATGGAAAATGTGAGATTGGAACGAAGTAAAGATGAGTTAGCATCTTTGATCTGAACAGCCAGAGGGCGAGAGAGCTACCCTCGGTTACTGGTCTGGAAGCGGGGCCGATCTTCAGGAGAGGAAGAGGATGTTGGCAGAGGCACTTTTAAAAATCTGGTTTCACTCAGCTATGGAGAAGAGAATGGAAGCAACGTTCAGGTTACTACCAGTCAACTGGTGGAATATTCCAGATGAAGTAAGAGAAGGCAAGGAATGTGTATCTTTTGACTTCAGATTTCTTTGTGCAGGAGTGGGGAGAAATTTGGAGATGGCAAAATGCAGTTTGGAGAGTAGATCATTTCGTAGCTGTATCATTCAGAACTCTGATTTCCACAAGCATAACTGTATCATTTATTCTTTCATTTGTCTTCATGAATTCAGCGTTTATGGAGAGACTTAAGGTGAGCCTAGTAATTCTAATATGTGCTTCAATTCAAAGATGAATAAATTGTTTCTTCATTTTTCAGAAATTTGTAGTGTCATGGGAAGTAGATGGTAATACTATTAACTGTTTACCACTTTAAGTATACAGGGTGATACAGGAATCCAGATGAAATTTAGATACTTTTCCTAGTGTTAGTATATGAAGGAAGAATTATTTGATACCCTGTCTGGCATACTTTAGTTCTTTGTTTCTCCAGCCTCTTCACTAGAATCTCAGGTCAGAGATGATTTAAACAATGCCAGTTGGTGACAAATCAACCTCCCTTTCTTTACTCAGCATCCATACCTAGTTTCTCACTCAGTTTTGTGATCTCTCTCCTCTTGGACCGTAGTTCCCTCATTCTAAGTATCTTTTCTACTTTTATACATATTTCAGGCTCAGAGATTGCTTCAATTTTTCTTGCCCCATCATACTTCCTTTTCTCTGTATCTGTCTTGGGAGAAAGGGAAACTATCCATTCGTTAGAGCTCTTGATGATCTAATTTCACCTTATATTGTTTCCATTTTATCAGGGAGGCCCAGGGAAGTTGAGTAATTTGCCCAGATTCATAAGACTAGAGAAGATAAAAGAAGGACATTGACTTTACAGCCAATATTCAGAGTACTGACAGTTGTCAGGTTTCTTGTTTGTTTGTTTTTTAAATAAAAGAGACCAAAGAGAGCTAGCAAGCCCCTTCTCACCATGTGAGGGCCCAGTGAAATGGCACCGTGGATGAAGAAGCAGACCCTACCACACACTTCTAGCACTTCTCAGCCTTCAGAACCATGAAAAATTGTTTTGGTGATACTGGGGACTGAACTGAGGACATCAAGTATGCTACCTAAGTGTAAAAACAAAACAAAGCAATGAAAAAGGAAACCAAGCCAAAACCCAACTCAAGCCAACCAACCAACAGACAAAAACAGTACATTCCCCAAAAGCATAAAACTGAAAAGTAAGCTTCTGTTGTTTATAAATTATCCAATCCAAGGTACTTTATTATAGTAGTTTGAGTAGACTGAGACGTTGACCAATACCTTAAAGTCTCTCAGATGATATTTCTAAAACAGTCACAAAATTTTTATTCAGTTTCTCAGAAAGAAAAAAGAAAGCGTGACAAAACTACCTGGTAGTTTTATAATCCCTTCATTTTTCTTCATTAAAGGTCTTGATTTCCTTATGAACATCCAGGCCCATATGGCATTTACATTTCTTCCTCCAGGGTGTGTTGAATATAGTATTTTTTAAAGGTCAGTATGGTTATTTTTATTATTTCATTATAATTATTCAATCTTACTAATGGTACAAATTAATGGATCTCCTTGGGACACTACCATATAAGCATAGATCATATCCACCCTCCCTACCATGCTTATTTTGCTCTCTTTTCTTTCCCCAGTCCCTTTCCCCTTCTCTAATAGTCTGTCCTTTCTCTTTTTTGTTTTCATCTATGGGAGAAAACATGGAGAAATACATGTGTGTGTGTGTGTATATATATATATGTATATATATATATATAAAACTCATATCTATGGCTATGTTTCCTTGGTTTTCAGTCATATGGTCTTGTCTCCTTGCTTTTCTGGGTATTTTTTCTTTTTCTCTGTTTCTTTCTGTTTTTCTTTCTTTGTCACTTACTGTGTTCAGATATTTCTGTTTTTAAAAAAAGTTGTCTGGGGTGGCAGTCCAGCTCAGAGTTACAGCACTTGCCTAACATACACCAGGCCCTGAGTGTAATTCTCAGCATGCATGCGTGTGCATGCGCGTGTGCATACACATGCACAGAACTGTAAACATATGTGAAGTTCTCCAGAGTGGATCTATATTTGCCTGTACTGGCTAGTCCCTGAGACTTGTGTTAAGGAATTGCTTTAATCCAGCTTCATGTGCTGTGCAGCTGAATGCCTAGGGCCTTTTTTGGCTTATCATTGTTCCCAGGGCCCATCTAGAAGCAGAGACGGTGAGCAGAACAACCCTGGCTTGGTGGTGCTGGGCACTACATTTGGCCCTGCCTCATACAGACATATTTAACGGCTGTTTATTGAGCCACATGTCCTTTCAATTCCTCCTTTAAAACTGGCATGTGCTATAGGAGAAGAAGCTGGCCCCCTTGCCAGGCTCAGATCCCATGGTTTCTATCCTGCCCCAGATCCTGACCCGGTAATTTTTTCACTATCTTTCTTGTTTTCTATTACTCTGAAACAGACTTTCAGAAATGTTTTGTTTTGCTCATTGTCCTCATTGGAAAGGTAGTTCTGAATTACCTATTTTTCCATTTCCAGAGTAAGAAGTTCTATGTAATCTAGGTTTAGCCAAACATCTCCCTGAGTGGATAAATAATTTTGAAAAAATTTGCTCTTTACAAAGACTGTGTCTCAGGATTTCCCTAGTAATACAAACTTAGTTGAATGACAAGAAAGGGCAGAGATGACATTTCCCTAGCCCCTCATAGGAGTGTTTCTTCAGGTATGTTACTGCAGGAAGCCATGAACAAAATAGCTTGGCTAAAAAACTTACAAAATTATCCAGAAAATAACATTTAATACGGTTATGATTTGAATAAGTGTCTCAAAAAGCATACATTGGGAATTTACTCCTCAGTGCAACAGTGTTGGGAGGTAAAGCCTAATGGGAGGTGTTTTTGTCATAAGGTCCCACCTTTATTAATGGGTTAATGCCAGTGATAAAAGGGTTGAAAGCCATGAACTTTGTCTCTTGCTCTCTTTCAAAATGTGATTCTGGGATGCAGCAATAAGGCCCTCTGAAAATACAGCCTTCAACCTTGGGCTTCCCAGTCTCCAGAGCCGCAAGAATCTCTTTCTCTCTTTCCCTCTCTTTTTCATGCTCTCTCTCTACTCCCCTCCTTTTTCCTCTCTCTCTCTCTGTCTTTGTCTCTCTGTCTCTGTCTCTTTCTATCTCTGTCTCAGCATCTTCACAGTGAACTGTGTCACCAGCACTTTTATTTTTTTAATTTTGACCCAAGTTTTCATTAAGTTGCCCAGGCTGAGCTCAAACAAATCTCTCTTCCTTATAAACAACTCAGTCTCAAGTATTTTGTTATAGCAACAGAAAATAGACTAAGATAAATGGCATGAATAGAGCATTTCAAAAATAGGTATTTGTATAATATCCAATAATTGTGTAACTTTATGGGCAAAAATGTAGTAAATATGTCCTTTTAAAAACTCTCTGTATCTATTTAACTGTATCTGTAACCTTTTAAAAATAAGAAATAAACAGTTCTCAGAGACTTTGAAACAATTGTTACCAGTTTCTATAAACAACTAATACACATTAAGGAAGATAGAAATGTAGTGACCAGTTCTTACTGGAAACTTTAATTGAGAGATATGGTTAAAAAAACAAGTATCATACTTTAGTAGGGCTAGCCTTGTTTTTTAAATCAAGTAGCCTTGAGAGATATCTTTTCCATGTTTACAGCTATTAAAAGCAGGCATTACATATAACTGACTTTAGAATCAGACCTTTTGTTCACAAAGAATTAAAAAATGATGAACCTTTTTAATTATATAACTCATTAAAATATTTTTAATAAAAATATCAAAGATGAGGATAAAATGCTTTATTTTCCTATTTAATTACTTTATATATCTACTTAAAATACTTTAAAATTCAACTTTACCTTTTTACTTCTATATATTGTGTGTAATGTATATGCTCTATGAGTATGTATTATATATGCTTTGACAGTGACTGCTCACAAATTTTTTACTGATTAGTCCATAAAACTTGAAGGCCATTATTTGTGGCTGGTTCTTGAAGATTGCCTTCTAGACTTTACCATTTTAGATAAGAAGGTTTCTACCTACCACCCTTAGCTCTGCTTTCCTACTGCCCCGTTTATTGAGTTCATAGTATTTATAAAGGATTAGAATCATATGTTCATTTATTTATCTTTACTATATTATACAATCCTTGAGAGCAAGTATTATGTTTGTTTTATTTGCTAGCAATACAAAGAATACAGTAGAGGTGATACAATATTACTTCTAAGATCAGGTTATAAAAGTCACTATTGCCTCTAATTTGGTCACTGGCTTTTATATTTTCTGCTACCATGTGCTCTGAAGGAGACCATTTGCCTTGTTGTGAGTCATGTCTGTGAAGAAGACTACATGTCAGAAATCTGGAGCCTCTAGCTAGCAGCTATACAAGTAGGCCTGGAAGCAGACTCTCTAGACAATCAGAGATCTACAGCTTAACACCCACCTCCTGGGACAAAACCCATAAAATTAAGCTACTCCTAGATCCCTGGCAACTATCAGCAACTATATCAGGTAAAACATATTTGTTGTTTTAAGTTGTTTAGTTGGAAGCCATTTGTTACTCAGCAGCAGATAACTAATACACTTGAGTGTGAATACCAATGTTGCCCTTTGTTAATCACATGTACATACAGCTTCATCTGTGGAAATCAGTCTCCTTTTCTCAAAATGCACTGTTATTGAAGCATAGTCCATGATACATAGTAGTTTTTAATAAATATTTTAATTTTTATAATACTTCTTATTCAGAAAGCGAACATTTAAGAACATAGGAAGGTATAGAGCAGCTATAAAGAAACACAAAACTCAAAAGAAATAGCTATGTCCACCCAGTAAGTATGGGTGCATATCATTGTGTCCTAGCTACCTAGAACTTAAGAGCTCCATAGATTCACAGCTCACGTAGTGAATAAAAGTTGTCAGAACTATGTACAGTTTATTTTCATTCTTTTAGGTGGATTTTACACTAATATATGTAATACACATTTCCTTGTTGGCCTTCATACTGTGTTTGTACCTAAGATGGTTTCAGCATTCTGGAAAATCTCTTTGTAGAACAGTAATTCCCCAACTTTACCCATGCATCGGAATCTGCTGGAGAGCTTGTGAAATGCTCATTGCTGGAACCCACTCTAAAGGTTTTAACTCAGCAGTTCCATGGTGGTCCCTGAGCCTCTGCTTTTCCTGTGATTTGGTATTAGAGATCAAACAGCCAGGGGCTTTACAATAAACTAAATTCCCAGCTCTTTTTATTATTTTAATATTAATATTTAAATATTTAATATTTAAAAATATTTTATTTTTATTCAATATTTTTATTTTGAGGTAGGGGCTCACTAAGACATTCTCACTAAGAATTCAGCCTAGGCTGAACTCAAACTTGCAATCCTCTTGATTTAGTCTCCTCTCTCCCATCCGATCCCCCCCACGCCCCCTCTCCCACTTGTTCCAGCTGGTAAGATGCTGCCTGGACTGCAGAGCAGAAGAAAGGGCTTTGCCCTCTTCCTTGCTCCCGTGGTGTCTTTTACACCCTTGTTTGCTTCATAAGGAGACAGCATGATGACTTCGGTGATGTTTTCCAGAAAGGTGCTACCTGAGTCATTTTCTCCTGCATCTGGAATGCTCCTTCCTTTCATAAGTGATTTTCTTCAGATTGGCTGGTATATCTGAAGTTTGTCCCCAGTTCCAGAAAGGAAAAGGAAGAAAGATACCAGTTAGATGTCAGGTGGGTTCTGTCTCTGTTCATTTCCCACCAGCTGCCTCCACCTGCCTGAGATACAGAGACGCATTCCAGCTGTGAGGCCACACAAACTTTAAACAAAGAAGCCAACCTGGGCTCTTAGATATTTTAAAGTTGTATGGTTTTCTTACCAGTGTTTGGCTCATTAGCTCTGGAGCAGCTGTGCCGATGCAGGTATAGACAAGGCATGGCCAGTCTCTGTGCGCACTGTTGCTGGTGGTCTGAGCCTACTCACCCTCACCTTCCACAGCTCTGCCTCGGAGCCTAGTCTTGGGAGGTTAGCATTCTTGCAGTAATTTCAAGCTGCTGCCATGAGCTGTGGGCAAAACAACAGGACTTTCTCTAGCGAATTCAGGGCTGAGTCACACCACTGCCTTTGACTGCTGTTTGCATGGCTTTGGGGGAGCATTTTTCCCAAATAAGGAGACTGGGGAGTCTTCTTGATTGGGATGTTCTTCTGCAGCACTAGAGTTGGAAGTGTTTACACAGATAATTTCATATTGTACATATCCTTTAGGTGAAACGCTAAACATTCCCACTATATTGATTTCCTTAAATCTGCACTTTATCCTATTGAAGAGAGTTAGAGACCCTGATGCTTAGTAAGTGACTTTGGAATTGCTTATACACCTTGTGCCAGGAACATAGTGAAGAGAGATTTGACAAGAAGCAGAGGTGGTGGGTGGAGGCTTTGACAGCTCCCAGAGAACCTGCCTTGGGGCTTCAGTTCGGATAGCTCATTCTCCTCTACAGCTTTCCTGTGTTTGTGTGGAATTAGGCTCAGCAAATTGTTACTTACCTCCACTGGACACTATTCCCAATTAGATGCAGGGGACACCAAAACTAACAGCATTCTGTCCTTGCCCTCAAGAAGCTCAGAGCTTTGTTGGGACGGGGACTGGTTGTGGTGATATCAAGATGCCTACCAATATTTCCTACTCCTTCCCTTGAACTCAAGCAGTTCTTGCTTCTAGCTTTGACTAATGAAATGTATTAGAAGCAATGTTATATAACTGTTACCTTATAAGAGCCTGACTTCTAAGAAGAGACCGCTATGATGTGAGGAAGCCCAATCCAGCCATGTCAGATACATTTTTTACTCACAGCATTGTGAACAAATACAACGGCTGTTGTTGAAGTAGCCTGGTATATAGGAGTAGATAGTAAAATAAACACATATTTTCTTGGGTAATGATGGAGCCATGCATAGGATGCTGTAGGAACATAGAAAGATATCCAAGCCAGGCTGTGGCAATGAAAATATGACCATAGAATGCTTCCAAAGAAGGTATGCTTATGTAGAACATCCTCTGTAAAGGCCTAAATTTGAGCCAGGCTTAGGGGAGGGTGATGCCACCTAGGTACAGGGGAATAGAGCATAAATGTATGGAGGTGAAGAGCAGCATGGTACATATGCAACAAATCCTCAAGAAGATGTAAGGCAGGGAGTCAAAGAGAAATTTGCAGAGGTGTTTATAACAATAGTAATAGTAGTGATAGGTAAGTTTTATTGAACACTTACTAACAGATAATTGACATAGGGTTTTATATAATTTAACCATTTAATTCTGTATCTTTTTACATTAGAAGAAAATGAGGAACAAAAAGAGATGCAGTAACTTGCTCAACAGTAGCCACAAGGGCAGAATAGAGATTTGAGACCAAGCAAACTCTTGAAGATTTTTGTCTCCTTCCTTAAAGATGCTGGAATTTGTTCTATAGGTGATGAAGGGTGACCCAATGGTTTTAAATAATAGAGTAATATGGGCACATCAAAATGTGCTAAAGATTGTAACTTTCCTGTTGCCTTTGCAGTAAAACCTTGGTTTGTGAGCTTAATTCATTCACTTGTATGTCAAGCATTTTTATATCAATGTGCATTTCTCTATGAGAAATAATGGAAACTCAGATGATTCATCCCACAATCCAAAAATATTCATATAAAATGACTATAATACTGTAATATGATATGAAATGTAAAGAAAATATGAAATGTAAAGAGAAATAAACAAATTAACTTGCACTTTCCTTTGAAAACTTTTGTATCTGGTGTGAGGGAGACAAGGGGGAGTGATTATGGTGCCGGACAACTTTAACTCTAATAGAATCACTGCCATACGTCGACTCAATGGAATCTTTTCTTCTCATACAACTTTAACAAGGAACCTACCCAGTGACACTTGCTTTTGCCTCCTTTTGAGGATTTTGGGGAAATGTGACTGTGTTAGTAACTTTTTTCTCATTGCTGAGACAAAATACCCGACACCCAAAGTTAAAGAGGAAACATTTATTTAGCTCACAGTTGGTAGAGGTTTAGTCCATAGTCATCTGGCTCCAAGGCAGGGTGGTATGGCAGAGGAAAAATAATTCACAGTGGACAGAAGGTAGTATAACAAGTAAGAGACCTTAGCAATTTTTTTTCTGTCCCTTCAAAACTCTTATCTAGGTTACCAGGATTAGGACAATACTAAACCAATCAGTAGACTGATTTAGTAATCACACACCCTTAATCCTAGTATTGCGCTACAAATCAATCATGTACTCTAGATCCAGCCATCTCTGAAAAAGCCCCACCTATGACCCCATGAGGCTCTGGAGGGACATCTAAACACAAACCATAACAGTGACATTACATTGCCTTAAACAGATTAATCACTCACACTGCTACAGCCTTACTCAGCTGGTGCTTTTCTACAAAATTTTACAGTTTCCCACATTTTACACATCTCCCTAATTGCATTTGAAGTCAGGGATTCATCCAGCTTTTTCTTCTCCTCTTCTAGAGTTTGGATCTCCTCCATAACCTCCTGCTGATGGGAGACCCACAATCCTGCAGCCAGAGAGAGAACCACCATTGGCTCAGTTGTGATCCTGTGATGTTTAGTGTCATGTACTACTCGTATTACAAGAAATTGCTAATTTATTAAGTTAAAATTTATTAGAAAAGTCTGCGCATCTTGCAAAACACTTGGGGAACAAATTAGTTGTAATCAAAGGTTTTACTGTGTTCTCAATGCCTGTTGTCTGTTTCTCCGTAGTGAGTAGCAGGGTACTCCTCATAATGAGCAGTGCCAGTGAGCTTATCTTTGAGGAATATAGGGAAGCAGGAAGATACAGGGGTCATGTGATGCTTTATAGCTGCTGATGGAGGCAAAAGGAAGGACAGAAAGCCCAGGGAGAGAATGTGTGTTAGCCACCAAGGAGAGGAATGTGGGGCCACACCCTTGGCCTCGAGAAGAATGAGAGAAGTAGACAATTGGAGCCAGCTTGTTCTAAGATCTTTTAAACCAAGAAACAGATAGGCAGTTTGCTTTTCTCCCTTTCCTCTTCCCATGGCCTTTCAGGTAATTTGCATCAAAATATTAAAACAACTCTTGGGTTCCTGAGAGCAATTAGCAGAGAAGACAGCATGCCACAAAAATCTGGAACCACTCATCTGACCATAGCCTTTGCTTTCTGAAGGGGCTCTTATGGGCGAACTATGGAACAGCTGTTCCTGAATATATCACGCCCCTACTCTCTCTGTCCCTTGCTCTGAGAAGACCTAGTGGAGTTGAGTCTGTGTGCAGACTTTCACATGCTCACTGGAGCAGCTTTTTGTGAGTAGGGGAAAAGGATTTGGCTTAGGGTAGAAGCCAAGGGATTTAGCCTCAGACTTAGTTTGGCTGATGCTTGTTTTGTATGATAAGGGCAGATGTCTATAATTTTCTGGGCATAGGATTCTTGTCTGTAATAGGAGGCTATTACATGAAGGTTAATTCACAAATACAACTGTAGCTAAGATCTACTGAGTAGGTACTAAAAGCCTGACATTACTAAACAAATTTTCTTTCTTTCTTTCTTTCTTTATTTCTTTCTTTCTTTCCTCTTTCTTTTTGAGACAGGGTCTCCCTATGTAGTTCAGGCTGGCCTTGAACTCACATGTAGTCCAGGCTGGCTTTGAACTTGCAGTGATCCTTTCTTTGGGGGTACTGGTAATCAAACTCAGGACAGTGGCGCTTGCGAGGCAGGCACTGTGCTGCTGAACTAAATCCCTGTCCCTTTTCAGAGATCCTCTTGCCTCAACCTCTCAAGTGCTGGGATTACAGGTGTGAGCCACCATGCTTGGTGATAAGCATTTTAGATATATTTTATTTATTTAATTTTCACAATAACTTAAGATTAATGAAGCTCACTGAAACCTTTTTCTTTTTATTTATCCTTATATTAAGTATAAATCTTCATTATTTCCTTGCTGATTCAAAACGAACTTTGTCTAATGATCTTGAAAGTAATTGAAATAATCAGAACGTTGTCTCATTTGAGAGTTCTCGCTCCATTCCCTCCTGGACAGGCAGCCTTTTGACAATGCAGACTTAACAATGGAAGGTTATATATTATTGATAGGGAGCTGGAAGTATACATTATCAATTTCAATGAATTTCGTAAGTACAATGAACCAAAAAATGCACACTGCAGAATATATAGTTTATCTCACTATTTATGCAAAGTTCAAAGCTATAAAACAATACTACATACTCTGGGTATGTAACTTAGTGGTAGAGCATTTGCCTAGCATGTTTAATGGCCTGGGTTTGAATCTCAGTACCACATACATGAAAAAAAAGTGCTAAATATATCTATATTTTTACCCAGCGCTGAAAATGCATGGCATTGTCACCATCACATGCAGGCTGGTAGTTACCTTTGGGGAAACTCTGCAATCATCAGAGAAGGGACAAAAAGAAGGAGATTCCACTGCCTGGGCAATGCTTGATTATTTCAGGTAAGTGGCAACTACACACATGCTTAGTTATGTCCTAAATGTTGCGTAATAAATTATTTAAAACTCAACTGAGACTTCCGGGAGAACATGGCGGACAGATAACAGCAACTACGGAGGCTCTCTGAAAGGCTCGGCTCAGAAGCCAGGAATGGTGCGGACTAAGGAGACATAAGCCAGTGGAGATATGCTCTGCTGACTCAGGAATGAACTGGGCTGAGAGAAACCAACTTGGAATGCAGTCCTGGTACTAAAACAGGAACAGAAAAGCCTCGGTGTGGAGGCTGGACCCTGCGCCATTGGAAGCCGCGATTTGGGTTTCCCGCCACGTGGCGGCTGGCTGCCTCTACAGCGGCTCGGCAAGGAGAGAGACGCGTGGAAGCTCTGAGAACGGCAATCTGCGAATGGAGTCGAAAACAGGACGGGCAGGGAGGCGCGCACTGACTTGTGGTGAGGTGAGTGAGAGAAACTGACACTCTACCACAGTTTGACTCCAGCGGAGGACTTTCTGGGCCCGAGCAGTCCTGCGGGAGCAGGGCGCGGTGGCGACTCCAGCCACACATCCCCCTCTCGGGCGGGATTGGTGAAAAGTGCCTGGCCTGCGTGACGCTGCCAGCGGACCCGGTAGGCTGTCCCAACCCAGATCCCAGAGCCTGACGGTGGCCGGGAGGGGCGACACGTAGGCTGCCTGGTCCGTAACTCCCTGGTGCGCAGTGGTGAGCGGGAACACCTAACCGGCGCAATTCCATCAGGCTGTGGCTGACTGGGAGAGAAGCTGGGCCTCTTATATAAGCTTGCATATATAAGGAACAGAGAATATGGGAAGAGGCAGCAACAAGAAAGGCTCCTCGGCCCCCAATTCTGAGAAACAGGCAATAGCGGACACCGCACCAATAGACATAAAGCGCCATATAGAGAGCCTCATAGACCAATTCAGGAATGAAGTTATCAACGACCTGAAGCTAGAAGTATGCAGAATAGTTAGAGAAATGCTAAGCCCCACCCAAGAAAAAACAGATGGTGGAATGGAAGAACAGTAAAACTCAACTGATTGTTTTGAAGTAGTATTCTTCAAATTCAACACACTAATCCTCATAAATCAACCCACATTGTTCCTCATGAGTAAAACTATTTTCCATTAATGAGATACATAAACATTTATAAAGAAAATAAATATACACATTTAAAACTCTGCCTAAAATTTGACAGGAAGTCATACTCCAACATTTTCACATTCTTTGGTCAGCCTATTCATTGTGGAGAGGACATTCAAAGGCATGAATACTATGTGAAGGCCTTTGGTGGTCATCTTTGCAGTGTATACCACATTTCCTCATATTTCCAATACAGTATTGTATGTTACTTTTAATAATACTTATTTAAAATTATCTTAATGTTGTTTCAGACCCATTTCCTCCACAGTGGAAGGTAAAATTCCAAAGAGCAAGAATTTCAACTTTTTATTGCTATTTTTAGAGCAACAGCACCTAGAATAGTGCCACGCACATAGTTGATGCTCAATATTGAGTATGAAGACAGGTGTTATTGTTATACCAATTTTGTACATGTACAACAGAAGCTCAAAAAGTTAGATTGCCCAGTATTACATAGTAGGTGGTACAACTGGGATCGACTTATGCATAGAGACTGGTCCCAACAGCCTATTTAGGTCTAATTTGAGGACCCCAGTGCTGGTATCTGTAGTTGTAATGATGTGTATATGGGGACAGCAGGACAGGATTGCAGAAGGGCTGGGTGGGGCAGTTCATGGGTAAAACCAAGAGGAAGTGCATGACTGTGTATGTGTGCATGCATGTGTGGTTAAGATGAGAGAGAAAGAGAGACAGACACACAGAGACAGACAGAGTCAGAGACAGAGACAGGGAGAGAGAGAAAGAGACAGAGAGGGAGGGACAGACAGACAGACAGAGAGAATGAGTATGTGGTTCTTGCAGTTAGATTATTAAAGGAGGGAGAATGTAAGTTGTCTTGGACAGCAGTCTTGACCTAGACTTGAAGATTATACTTTGACCTGAATGTTACTCTCCTCTACATTCTTTGAAAAAAATGTGTCTCCAAGGAATTACCTTATTAAAATGACTAAGTAAAATTTCCTTTAGAACTCCCACAGCAATTTAAGTTGTTATTTGACTAGCAAGCGTATTGTTGAATTATACATGATTGCTAATTTGATTATAGTTGTGGGAATTATCCATTTTATGGATTATTTGCCAGAAAAAGAAAAGTACGGTCTCTTGGCCACCCACTCTCCATTCTCCTTCCCAGCTCCTGAGGGAGGGACCCTGGCATTCATCAAAACACAATAGGGTCCTCTTAGAACAATGCCTTACCCACCCACTCTTCTGGCTGGGGAGCTGGAAAATTGGGAGGCAAGGAGGGAAACGTTATGAAAGTGCCTGCCTTGCTCTGTCTGCTCTGGGCCATTCTGGGTGTTGAGTTTTGGAGCTAGGAGTCTTGTCTGTGCGGGAAGGAGTGTTGATCTTTGAAACTAGGATGAATGATACTCAAGAGAAGGCCACCAAAGTTGGTTGTGAAGGCTGGCTCTGATCTTGCCTCAGAGGGAAGGTGAGGATGGCTCCCCCAGTACCTATAGGCTCCATGCAGTTTATTGGTGCAAGAAAGCAGAGGGAGGGTTATGCAGAAAGCCTACTGGGGGAAAAAGAAAGTTTGCCTTCAGCGGGAAGCACCCTCAGGAACCCCTGTGGGTGGCTGTGGTTAGCTGGCTCAGACCAGACCTGGCTGACAGATGGAAATAACTTCCTCCCAAATAGTGAGTTTATCTCCACCAAGAGTATCTAGATGGAGGCTAAATAGCTGTGTGTCAAGGATTTGTAACCTTAACGCCATCGCAGATTGTCCATGGGCTTACACGTTAGGCCAAAACTTATTCAAGGAACTTTCTCCTAGGGTCCCACCTTTCCTATGCAGGGCTTCGCAGCAGTGAAGAGCACAGCCTCAGAGCTGTCAACTTATCATTGTGCCCTGGCTCCAGCATGCACTAATTATGTGACCTAACCCAGGTTCCTTAACTTCTCTGTGCCTCCATTTCCTCTAATATAGAATAGGGACAATACCCCCACAGGGATTTTTTAACTCATAGAGGAGTTGTACAACAGTGAAACTGGGATAATACAAGTAAAGTGCTTAGCCCACTATGTTTTATTCAAGAATTCATTTTATAAGCATGTATCAAGCAATACATATTGCCATGCACCAGCCAGAGGAGAAAGGTGAAAGACACTGAGTTCTGGGTCTAGTGAAACTTACATTCCAGAATGTGAGGGATGTAGGCAGGATAATGGCCACTCAAAGATGTTCACATTTTCATCCCTGAAACCTGCGACCAAGGTTACGTGACCAAGAGGGATTAAGGTTGCAGATGGAATCAAGGTTGCAAATCAGCTGAGTTTAAAATAGGAATATTAGCTTTGTTTACCCAGCTGGGCTTATGTAATTACATCCTAAAAGACAGAAAAGGAGGCAGAAGTGTGTCAGGGTGATGCTATGATGCCGTGCAAGAAGAACCTGAGCTGTTCTTGCTGACTTTGAAGTTGGAAAGACAGTGCAAGCCAAGGCATGCAGAATCCCTTTCTAGAACATGAAAAAGACAAGGGAATGAATTGTCCCGTGGAGAGGGAATGTAGCTGTCCTGAAATCTCAACTTTAACTCAGTCAAAGCCATTCAGACTTCTGCTCTTCAGATCCATACGATAATAAATAATTTGTTGCAACAATAAAAACTAATACTAATGCAGATAAGAACTAAGGGAACAAATGAATATACCAGGTAATTTCAGGCACTGATAAGTACTAAGAAGAAAATGAAGCAGGGTAAGAGATGGAAAATGGTGAAGGAGAGCTTCTTCAGATGGTCAGGGAAAGCCTTCTTGGGGCATGACAATGGCAAAGACAGTTGCATGACCTGAGAAGACAAGCCATGGAGCTGTGTTTCAGCCAGAGGAATGGAGCCCACAAGAGGGTAAGGGCTTGAAGAGTGCAGGAAGTTTAGAGGGTCAGTGTGGCTAGTCCTTAGTGGGCAAGTAAAGAAGTGCAACCAGACGATACAGAACTCAGACTTGGTAGCTCCTGGAATTTGGACTTTATTCCCAGTCTGTGCTTCCCCTCCCATGGAAAAGTAAAAAAACTAATTCAGATGTTACAAATCTCATTTAGGCTGGTGTTAGGGGAGCAGACTGGAAAAGATTAACAGTTAGTAAGCCAACTTAGGATACTATGGAAAAGGCAGGCTAAGTCAAGGTGGTAACAGGTGGTGAGTAGGAATTGGAACCTAACATATTGTGGTGGTTAGAAATGGCTAGACTTTGTGATGGCTCAGATATGGGCTTGAGGGATGGAGGGAAATCAAAGATGCCTCCTCAGTTTGTGCTGGCACTAGAGATTGTTATCAGTATTGGATACTATTACATGATGGTCTACCATTCTCTATCTCTACATGTATGCTCACAATGTTTCCTCCACCTGGGACTTCCTCCTCCTGTTCTGTTGCCAAGGATTAAGTTCATATGCATCTGCAAGGGCTATGCTTTTAGTATGGGGAGAGCTCTCTTCTTTGAACTCTCTTTAAGAGAGTAGCCTATTTAAGTCTTTTCAAGTAAGTGCCTTATTGGAGAGAAAATAATTTTGAAGGCAGGGATGTTCATTACTGTTCTTGGATCCCCCAGTGCACAATGACTGACACATGAAGGATCATGTAGGATCCCCTACATGACTGTTAAAAGGAATTGAATGTTATGGAGAGGATGTCTGCACTGAAGGGAGAATCTGAAATAGGTATTCTCTAGGGCTAGTTTCTGCTAAAATTTTAGCATTTCATTGTAGGCTGATAAAACCCACCACTCAGAAATTTTCTAAGATGCCCAGTTCCTCACTTGATTATAGAGGATGTGGAAAATGGTACCTTCAATGCAAGCCCAAGAGAAGGAAGAATTATTAGGTTTATGAAGGAATACAAAGACAGTCTC